AAAAAAAAAAAAAAAAAATTGCACATTGTAATTAGCAAGCGGTCACATCACTTCTTGAAAAGTATGGTGGTGGCTGGTCACTGGACCTCTGTCATTCAGCTCACAGAAAGAGAGCAAAGCATGTAGTTTCTTCTGTACTTCCTTATCTCCCAGTGATAAGCCATGTAACATTAAAAAAAAAAGTAAAGATAAGTGAAAGAGGGAAGCAGCCAGCAAAGATGGAATACAGGGAAGAAATTAAAAATAGTAATGCTGGAATTGAAATTCAAATAGAAAGTGAACAGTTACAGGAGAAATAGATGACTAAGCGAATGCTGACACTATTGCTATTAGAAAGACTCTAGATACGTAGCCAGAGGAACTCAGTGAAGGCAAATTTATTGACACAAATGAGTAACGTGGTTGGGACAAAAACGTCCCAAAGGAAGTGATGCTGGCAAAAAAAAAAAAAAATCATATTAAAGGAAATCTCAGAAATACCTCACAACATTGAAAATACAAAGGACAAAACGTTGAAAGCTGATCCAGACTTAGAACAAGAATGAAGTAGGCCAGTTAGCCAAGGTATAGAAAAGGTGCCTGCTCTTTATCATAAGGCATATGAAACGAAGCAGACAAACACCGTTCACACTCCTCTTGATAAGTTTTTTTTTTACAAAGAAATAAAACATTTTAATTCTCAATATTTGAAATTACGTATTAAACAAATATTAGTTTTAGTATTTGTTTTCACTCCCCTAAATATTTGTAACCAACAATAAAAGTTTTAATTTTTTGAAAAAGTTGAAAAAACAATTGTTATTTTTCCCATTGATTATTAAAATTCCTTTGCACAGTCTCAGCTCATATAGTCATTTCTACGGCTCTGCATTACCAGCTAGGATTGCCTGTGTTGCTATAGGTTGAGAACAGAATCAGCATCTTGTCTTTATAGTTTGTCAATAGGAGGAGGAAGAGAATAAAAATGAATTTAAGTATTACATTAACATGAAATAACCAGAAAATGGTATCATTAATTTCCAGTGGTCTGTAATCAGAGTAAAGGCACAAGCTAATAGGCAAACCACACCAAGCAATTCAAGCAAAAATCTAAACAAGAGTTTTCTTTCCTACCTACAGGAATAAATTGACATCTAAATCTTTTCTAAACTTCAAATAGATTTGGGGGATAAGAAAAAAGGATCTCACCACATATTCTGCTATATTCCTCAAAGGTTATTCAGTTAATTCTGAATCACCTTATTCTGGAATATGAAAAATGGATGTCATGGGTCATGTTTTTCTCTTTCTCATGCTCTTAACTCTGAGGAATTCTGAGTTATCTGTAAATAGTTGTGGATGCAGAGGAAAGCAGCACTTGTCAAAGAAGGCTTCATTTTACATCAAACTTAATGAGAATTTTAATTCAATTAAAGTGGAAAAAGTCCTTTGAATCAGTAAAATACATAAAAGAAAGTTTGCTAACCTTAACACACACAAGAGCCTAATTTATAAAATGGTACATCAAACGGGCTGTGTGCGGGCAAAAGAAAGTCTTGTGATTTTTCAAGTATCAACTATTAAGTCTAGTATTCTCAAATTATATAGACTGGGCAACCTGGTTTTAATATTGCTATTAAAAAGTAAAGGCAAGTTCTTAATTTTTTGCCTTAAAACTACTGTAACAACTTTAAAGTATAATCCAGTAAACTACTATAATAATATATTTAAAAAAACTCAAAAGTGGCGTGAAATCTGAGTTCTAGCCCTCCAGCATCCATTAGCTGTTTGACCTTGGACGAGTCACATGACTTCTCCAGGACCCACGTTATTTATCTGTAAACTCAAAGGACATCCGTTGTGCTGTCGAGGGTTATGGTAGGCATTTCAAAGTGCTAAATAATGGCCTAATATACAAATAATATTAGTCTAAAAACAGAAACAAAATACTTTATAAATTCACATATGATATACTGACTATATGCAATAACGAATTAATAATATCTTACCTTGGTAACTTTTTATACAGGAATCGCTTTAGGTCCTGAAGGGAATATATAAAAATCATATAATAATATACCTTCCACTGGTTATCTACATCCTGTCCTATCCACAGCTATCCACATTTCAGGGACCTTAGGTTATCATTCATAACTGTTCTTGCTTGTGTTTTATCTTTCTCTGTCTGATTTTGATATTTACTAGTCATGTAACTTGGAGCAAGTTAAATAACCTTTTTTATCTAAGTCTCTGTTTCATTATTTGTTGAATAGGGATAATCATAGAACCTGTGTCTTAAGATTATTGTTAAAGATTATTGAGAAAATGCACGTATTAGCATACCTAAAAATGGGAAACACAAATACATATTACGTATAAAATTAGATCATACTTTTCATACCAGTATTTTACATATTATTGTTATAGTGCACACTTAAGAAGATATTAAGAACATCTTTCCATGTCCAAACACAGATTTTCTACCATCATTTTAATGACACTGAATAAGGTGATTACCTCTGTTTCTTCATACGATTAAAGATAAATGACAATGTGTGTCAAATGTTTGGAATGGAACACAGTTAGGACTAAAGAAATAGAAGACTATTTTGTCTCATTACACTCTCTCATTTGGGGAACTTCACTGACAATCCAAGGATCAATTATGACCTTACACGGATGAATCAGATATCTGTTGTTTTGATCCTCCCATCCCTACTATTCTCCAAACTTGAATGATCACTTTGCTTCATGTTATCACAACACCAGCTTACTTTTGCTCTCGTATTAAACACACGCGCGCGCACACGCACACTGAATTTATCATGTTGCTAAAGAGGCATACGTTAGAAATCACCTTAAATTGCTACAATGAACTTAATGACACATCATGACCACTTATTGGGAAAAAAAGAATTTAGAACGCATGTTCTACTTATCACATATTGACGGGAAAGGCAGCAAACTATCATTTAGAATTTCAAACGATAAACATACAGAGCTTGTCTTATGCCCCAGCAGGACTGGGGAGTAGGGAGAACACAATTTTCTCAACCTCAGGCACCTTAGTGTCCTCCAGCCCCATTCCAGGCAGAAACTCGGGATCCTGCAAATTCATTCATATTAGTCTCCTATTCCCAATCCCAGGGAAAATAATTAATTGGGGGCAGGAGAGGAACCAAAACCGAAACAAATTTCTACTTGGGAAGTTCTACCTCTCCTCCCTCAGCAGCCTCCTCCAAATCCCTCGCCCTCCCCTTCTTATGTGGGGGTGTCGACTCACATCCGCCATGACGAACCCCTTTCTCCCGCAGGATCAATCTCCACGCCTGGAAGAGAAACTGCCGGTGACTCTTCCCTCTAGGCTTCTTCGCCCTCCCCGCCACCAGCTGAATAAGCGAGCTCAGCCCATGTCAGAACTTAGCAAAACGCCGCGGTTCTGGGCCTCGGACCAGGGAGGAAGGGAGTCGGAGTTCCCCGACACCCCGATAGGTAGCCGGCTGGGACGCCCAGCCTCAGCCCGGCCCTCACCTGCCCCTCCACCCACAGAGCTAGGCCCAAGGAGAAGGGGCGCCCTCTGCTCTTCCGTCTCACCGCCCGCGCCACACCCGGGACCGGGCCCGAACACTGGGCAAAGCAGCTCCAGTTACCTGGGTTTCTGGCCTGCCGGGTTCTGTCTGCTGTCACTTCAGGGACAGCTTCAAAGACAGTCTCCTCAGCAAGCCGCTGTCACATGATTCGTGACCTCGGCAGCGCTCCAGGAAGCACTCAGCACGACTCCAACGCCCCGTGACACGGGATTTCCGGGGAGGCCCGGCGGAAATGCGCGCGCGCGAACGGCCGACGTGCCCCGCCCCTCCCCGCGCCGCGTCCTGCGCGTGCGCTCTGGGTCGCGGTGCTCAGCAGGATTCTGTGCGAGATCGTTGCGACCTGCGTGCGGTTCCCGGGAAAATGCACGCAAGGTTTTGGGCTATAAGACGTTCTTGTGCCAGGAGGATGCATAAGACTATTTCATTAGTTTTCAGGGTTTGTTATCATAAAACCTTTTTTTTATAGATGTACAAATTTGAGGGCATGGGTTTCTGACCCGCTTCCCAGTCTCTTTTGACTTTCCCAGGAGTGCCACCCTATAAGCTCTTTACCCAAGGCCTTGTCTAGATTGAATCGAGGAGCCCCTGGCTTTCTGGAGTCATGTGTGCACCTCAAGCCTCTACTTTTAACGTGCAGACATTGGACTACAGATACTTTCTACGTGCCCCTTTACACCAGGATTGAAAAATTAGTAAGGTCTCTCATCTAAGAAATAATAATTGAAAAAATAAAAGCTTTCTTTGGAAACCACATCGCCTCCCAGCCACCACCCTTTTTTCTCTACTCCCTTTCATGTCCAAACTTTTGGAAAATTTTAGTCTGGTTTTTAATTGCTGCCTCCATATACCCAAATCCAATCAATCATAGTTCTGTTTCTACCTCCTGAATATCTCTGAAAATCATTCACTTATCTATATTCCTACCTTGATCCAAGCCATGATCATCTCTCCTTTGGCAATAACCTCCTCTCTTTCCTACATTCACTTTTGCTCTTGGCTTACACAGCAACTAAAATGATATTCTAAAAACCCAAATCTAATCATGTAACTCCTTCCGTGAAAATCACGTTTTTTTTTTTATTGTCATAGGATAAAATTCAATATCATCAGGGTTTATATATATATGGTCTTATGGGGACCTGGCCCCTATCTTAATTCTCTGATCTACCCTGGATTCCTTACGCTATAATCATTTTAAGTTTGTTTTCACATCCATGAAGTTTTTATCACTTTACCAACTTAGCACACTCTGCCTGGAATATTTCTACAGCATTCACCTCAATCCTACTAATCTCATCTTTGGGGTTTTAGCTTAATTTAGGACCATCTTCTAGATATATGCCGTCATTGTATCCTGTAATTTTCATTGTAGCATTTATCATAATTATAATCATTTACTTGACATTTATTTTCTTTGCTAGATGTAAACTTTATAAGAGTTTTTATCTGCTTCAGTGATTAATTCCCATCCCCAGCTCACTGCCTGAGATGCAGCAGGCATTGATACATTTATTGAACGGTTGAATGAATGAAAGAATGGGCATATAAGGAGAACAAAACTTGATAAAAACAAATCTTTTACAGTGAGAACAGATCTTTTTATTAATATATTGAGATAAACTACAGAGACTGAAAGACAAAAATTCATCATAAATCATTCAGCAGAACATTCATTAAAAATCAAATGCATTTTCTTTAACGGAGTTCTCACACAGAAAATTTTATTTGTCTGATATAACATTAAATATTTTACAAATCAGACACTTCATTTTTAAACCTAATTTATAATCTTGAATGCACTATAGACAAAGTAAGCCCTCCTTTACCAGTTTCACTTCATTTAACTTAGACAAGGCTTCCATTACAATTCCATATCACCTTGAAAATTACCTGCAAATTTCAAAATACAAACTAAACTTTACATGGAAACAAAGTATGTAGCAATCCAAAAACAAAAACAACAACAAAAAAAGGAGATAAGAAGCATTTCTTAAGACAAATAAATTACAGAACATCATTTATGTGTTTCCTCTCATTGGTATAGTCATCCAATTCAAAAGCAATTCATTTTGAAACTAATGATTGAAATACGCCAATGTCATGAATATCCTATTATTTTAACGGTGTACTTAAGTAGCAAAGTAGAGTATGAGATTGGAATGTACAGAACCTTGTGCTAAAGTGAATGAGACTTACATTCAGGCCAGGTGTCATCTGCTATGCAGTTACTAGACATCTTGGCAACCAGCCATCCCAATTTTTAGTAACTTACTAAATTAAGACATTTCAAGAAACACTTCTTACCCCTGTAGATTTCCAGATTGCTAGATATTGAAAGATACAATTATATTTGAATATGGGCCTTATTATAGGAATCTGCATTAAATCATAAAGAAGATCAACAGAAAAAATTCACACCAATGAAATGCAGTGGACTATTTTCGAAGTTAGAAATAAGAATATCCACTGCTAATGGAAGCCCTGCTCTGTGCAAACATAATGTGGTATATATTAAACAATCACACATTTGAGGTATTAGCTGGAAAAAAATATATATATATACACCTATACATAGACACATCCACAGGATATTCACAAATCTATTGGCCCCAACACCAGCAGATAATCAAATTAAATGAAAAGGAATCACATACCAACAGGAAAAAGTTACGCATAGGGAATTTACAAAAAATATGGTTACATAATCCTTAATATAAGGAGTATGTTTTGAATTAATATTTTGAGGAAAAATGTTTCCATTTATATGAAAGTATTTATTTAACAGTAATGAAACAAAAAAGAAAGCCTGAATTCTAGGACTGTGCCTGCCAGATTATTAAAGAAACGTGCAAGAATTCCTTGAAAAGCCTCATTCTATCCACTTTTTCTTTGTAATTGAAAATTAGAATTTAAAAACATGTTGGAAGTTATTGCCAGCCTACTCCTTTCTTTTCCACTGGCTTATAGAGAAGTTTATGGATTTTTAACTAGGCTGTAGTCCAATGTGAGCAACAGACAAGGTTTTCAGCTATTTAAGGGAAGATTAAAATTCAAATTTATTGTTCATTTTCATTAGTTTTTCTGTTTGGATGAGAAAAAAAATTATGAACTTCCTTTCGGTTTGCTTCACTCAGTATGAAGACGGATAGTAATATGGGTAGTATGGAACCCAAGCATCATGTGGGGAAGCTAAATAAATACACAGATTCTTCTATTTTAACCAGTTGGTCCTTTGATATAACACTTGCTTAACTGGAAAGATGGCTCAGTTGGTCCTCAGGCTAACATCAAGAAATATTTCACTGCCTTAACACAGGTGAGACATTTATTTTTTAATGCACTATATTGGAATACATTAAGTAACATTAGCATTTCACAGGTGTTGAATAGCTGTTATTTTTTTAAATTACGAATAAGAGGGAAAAAGGGAAACCAAAAGATTAATCATTTCAGTAACTATTTTACATACTAGTATAAATGAAGATTTAACAGGAAGAAAATTAAGCATAAAAGTGCAATTGCAGCGAAGGCCTGGCATTCCACGTTCCTGCTCCTGTGAACACCTGAGCTGCCCAGAACAGCAGAGCATTTGAATGCACTGGCATATATGTGCCCGGGGGAATTGGCTTCACCAAGTCTTTGCCAATCACAAATAAGCATGTAATGATTATGAAACAGTTATTTAAGCATTCAAATGTAATCTGTTCCCAAAATACATTATTTTCACTTATTAGATGGATTATAACTTGACATTTCTCATTGCTGAGAATTCAATTTTCTTATTGGATCAAAATAAATTCTGAAACTTACAAATCACCAAATGACTAGCACCAGTCTATTTGGGAACTAAAGAATCAAAAGAAAGAGAAAAGGTACTATTTCTTTTCCCCACAAACCCTCACAAGGACAATAATGTGTGTGTGTGTGTGTGTGTGTGTGTGTGTGTAAAAAGAGATAAAAATGTAAAGCATTAATAAATATAACTCTGTCAAACTGTTAAAATACCAGTTACAGAAACTAGTAAAACAAAACTCAAAAGATTGAGAATTTATAGGTGATGATTAAAATGATCCAGTGATATTGGCAAAACTCATGTAGTTAAAAATAAGATGGCAAAATATTGAGATTTTTATTTAAAAAGAATAGCAAACATGAACATCTTACATCTTAAGATATCTAAAGTCTTCTTATTTGGTAAATTTAACTCAAAATTCTAAGACACTTGTTGAGCCTTTACACCATGATATCGGTGATACTAAGGACTTACTCTTTACTTACATACTTTATATGTGGCTTACATGGTCAGGTACTCAGTCATTTTCCACAGTTGTTTGAAAATTTTATTTTATCACTCACATTTCCCCTAACATTTTATGAAATGTAACGGAATGCAGCAATGCAAATGAAATATAATACTGTGCAAAAGCCATGTATGACTTTATGATATACATTTTATGATATCACTTAACTTGGTAACTTTACCTATCCCCTTAAAGCTGGAATTAAGAAAAAAAGAATCTAGTCAACAAGAAGGTAAGTTCACATAATTATCAACCATAATAGTGTAAATTTCCCAATAAAACTGGAAAAATAGTTGAAATTTTTCATTTAAATTTTTATAAATTTTCTGATACATATGAACTTTCAAAATTAATTAGAATGCTATGACCTTATTTTTTAAAAAACTTATTCTACACGTTCAAGAAAATATTTAAAATTGTATTTTCTTTTAAAGGTCACATTTCTAAAAGCAAGCTGGTTAAGTTGTCCAGTTTTCCTAGTACAGTGTGTTGTTTAGTTTAACCTACTAATTCAATCAGGCATTTCTATTGATTCACCTGGAAAAGGGGATACAAGAGGACATTTTTAAGAGAAGATCATTTCAGCAGTTTTATTCAACAGATGTCATAAATTAACTACATTCAGAAAAAAAATCTTTAAACAAAAGAGCAAAGCCACTCTATCTAGCATTTTCTTGCTCACAAAAAAACTACCAAAGATATGTTCATGTTCCATTAACTGAGTATGAAGCAAAATCATTAAAATATTACAACTGTTACACACAGAAGACTAGAAATCAAAACTTTCGTATCCAATATACAGGCACCAAAAACTTCAATTTCCAGCTGTTTTTTTTCTTTCTAATTTTATCTGGATTTAGTTACAAGGAGCTTATTCCTATAGGATTACTTGAATTATTCAATGGTGAGTAGATTTTAGCTCAGAATTTTTTAAGGATGACTTGCTTTAAATTACTATGCTACCTGCTTACTATTACATGTGGCCAGCCAGATACTGTGATCTATTTATATGTTTAAAAGTTGGCAATAGGGTTAAAAGGCACAAAGCTTTATTTTAGTAATAATTTTTCTTATTACTTATTTGTAAAAGAACACATTTATTTTTGGATCCTGCTTAAATGATCACTAAGACATTGTAAATTTCCATGGGGGAAAAATTAGGTGGGTCCTCTTTATAAAGAATAAATTTTAGCCGCCTTCAAAGACATATACATGAACATTTGGAGGCCTTTTAATTACTGGAATTGCAAATGGCAGAACTGCACTTTACTGTCGAAGACCCTTTTAATTTAATATTTATAGCCATTTCCTCATATTTTCTTTATTAAAATCTATCAGTATAACATTTCATTTCTATGCATGTATATGTATAGCAATTCATAAAACTAAATAGTAAACTGATACTCTACACCAGTTCATTTATCTCAATATATATTTTGGAATATAACGGCAATATGAAAAATATCAATTCCCTCTAAGCTGATAATGCTATAAGATTTTACAGAAAGTTAAACGGTGTTTTTCTTTTTGAAAAAGTTTCTTTGTTTAAACTCCACATATTTGACACCTTAACAAAGAAAATGTAATTGTATCATATAACATTTATTCCATTAATTTAAACTGAAGTGTCTCATGGAGCTAAACACTAAAAGAATTTAAATAAAAAGGCAATAAACTTTATGTACACAAAATGAACATTCCGTAAATATTTACACGACAAGGGAAAAGATGGAGAATCACTAAAACTGGAAATTGCTACAGGTGTGACAATCCTCTCTCAAGACATTTGTAGTTAGGAATCATATAAGCTTTGAAATGAAAATCATTGCAGAAGCATAACTAAAATATTAATTTTAGTTTTCAGTTCTTACTATTTAAAGGAGCCAGTGGGTCATAAACAGTCCAAGAGCTTGGGAACCAACCACTCAGGTAAGTTTTTAATATCAAATCTTTGTCTTCATCTCTCGTGATGATACTAAACTTACAGAAAAAATAGAGTAAAAGGTATAAATAAAATTCCAGTTCATCCTCCTTTATAAAGACTGGTTAGCCGCTCTAATTCTTTGCAGTTGTCCATGCTCAAGGCATCTGCCTTCCTTCGGAGCCGATCGTCACGGTATACTTTTGCTGCATACTGCATATCTGTTTCTGTTAAACACAAAAATATTTTGCTAATTAAATAATTTACTTCACCTGGTTGCTTAAACTCAGATAATTCTTCACAGCAGCCCTTCAATATACTGCCATTAACTGACTTTCTTTTAAAAATGAAGAAACCCAAGTACTATTCCTAGTAGCCATTTTAGTGGAAAAAAAAAATAACCTTTTCTTTAATTGAAAACTTTATTTGAAGCCTAGCATGCAAAACAAACACAGAAAAGAAATAAGGATAGAATCTTGTCAATTCAAGTCAGAATCCTTTCCCTCTACTCCTGTCCCCCAGTGGTTTAAAAGTCTTGGCCTCTTATCCTAAAAATACCATATGTTATACAATAGTGCTAGTGATTGTTTTTGCTGTGGTCTTTTGTTAAGGTTTCAGATTAATTATCCCAAGACTAAGTATAAAAATTTCAAATCTTGTTCTGAGTTTATTTGAATTAAAATATATATATATATATATATATATATATATATAAAATAACATTACTGAAGGAACACAGAGAATGCTTGTTATACAATTATAATATTGGTATTTGGCAAATAAGTACTTCCGAGGCTTCCTTCAGTATGTGGATAGCACAATTACTGTAAATATACAGAATACAAATCAAAATTCGGGAAAGTATCTCTTGTTTTTTCCTGTTACTCTCAGCTTATTTTACTGTTCATTAATACTTCTAAAGGGCAGGAGCACTTAGAGACGATCTAACAAAAAAAGGAAAAAAGAAATCAGTTACTTTCTGGAAAACAGTGGCCAAAGCGGAAGACATCTGGTTTATATGCATCAGCCGGGACCGCATTCAAAATATACTCACAGGTAAGAGTGTATTCCATTTGTAAAGCTCTCCAGAAATGATCTTTATTCAATCAGTTGGGCTAGGATTAACAACTTAATCAATATTACTCTACACCTTCTATTTACAAATACTACACTTGTAAAATCTATTTACAGATGACTCTTCCCTAAAGAAGTACTTAAGAGTTGTAGAGGGGAAGGGCATGCCTCTAATCCTCACTTGGGTGAGAGGCAAAGTCATAAAATGTAACCAAAATGTTTGTACCCTCATAATATCCTGAAATAAAAATAAATAATTAAAAAAAAAAAGAGTTAGATGAACCAAAGCTCACACTGCTAACCAATGGCAGAGTCCAGGCTTGGCACGGTGGCTTGCTCCTGTAATCCCAGCAATTTGTGGGGCCAAGGTGGTAGGATCGCTTGAGGCCAGGAGTTCGAGACCAATGGCAGAGTCTAGATTTCAATCCAAATCTCTAATGCCTAGCCTAAAATACTTTCTACTACTTCAGATTATTGCTTGCATTTTATAAAACACTCACTTTACCAATGCAGACATTAGAGAGTATTATTAATAGAAGTGACTCCACAACAGAAAAACCCTGGCAAAAAAAATATCAACTGGCCAACAATTTTTTGATAGCATTAATTTATAAAACAAGATATAAAACAAAGATTGTTTCAATCAATGAATGAAACAGTCAATGAATTGTTATATTGAGCTCCTTCCACTATAGATGTAATAAATTTGCTGAATTTTATTCTGAAATATTGCTAACTATACTAAAGTTAAAAGGGTAGTACAATGAACACCCTAAAACTCTTTACCTTGGTTGACCTATTCTTCACATTTTGTCAAATTTGCTTTAGCTCTCTCTCTCTCTACAATAAAGGCTGTTGTTACTGTTGTGTTACTTTGCAGAACCATGTGAAAATAAGTAGTAGCCATCGTGACCTTTCATTTCTAATTACTTCAGCATGTTTCTCTTAAGAACAAGGGCATTCTCTTACACAACTGCAATATAATTATCAGATTCAGAAATTTAACAATGATTTAATACCATTATCTGATGTATAGTTCATATTTGAATTTCACCGACTGTTCTAGTCATGTCTGTTATAGGTGTTCCCCACCCCGCAAATCCAGGACCCAGTCCAGGATCATACGTTGCTTCTAGTCGTCATGACTCTTAAGTCTCCTTTAGTCTTTTGTCTTTTGTGTCACTGATATTTCTGAATACAAGCAAGGTGTTTTATAGATGAATGACTTATTAAAAACAGATTTAGTTAGAACTACTGATAGCAACTTTAAAAGACACATATAAATGTGTGCAATACAGTTGCAGACAACTTGGTACAGTGGCTAGAACGTGGGCTGAGACATCCGTGAAACCTATTAATACTGATCTCGCTGGATTGTTGAAAGACTGAACTAGATTATGCCAAGCAAAAACATTTGGTTCATAGTAGGATGCAACAATAAATAATAGTAATTATAATAAATAATAATATTGAACACTTGCTAGACACTATGCTAAGGGCTTAACATATTAACTGCTATGGTCCATATTTTAATAGTAAGATTAACTGAAATTTAGAGAGGTTAAGTAACTTGGTATAGGAAATATATTGTAAAGTCAGGGTCTTGGGAGGCAGTCACAGAGCCTACACTGTAACCTTGATATGATACTATGTTCCATAAATATATCTTTTCCTTTCTTCTTATTTACATAGCCAACTCCCAATTATTTAAGTTAATAGAAAGTAAGTATGCATAATCCAGAAATTACCCATCTTTGGCTGAGGACTAGAATTTGTATTTGTATTTGTGTATCTAATGTGTATCTAATGTGTATTAGATACACATTAGATGTATCTAATGTGCTAGTCATTCATTCTAAACAAAATAAACATGTCTTCCACATATTCATTCATATGTATTCATTAATCATAACTCAATTGTTCATATAGCCATTAAATATTTATTAGTTGCCTATGATATGCCAAGGAATATCCAAGGTGCTAGAGATTAAAAAAATTAAATTAAGTTAAACTAAATAAATAAAATTTGGTGTTTACTACCCTTGATCCCTTGGGCTAATGCAGTTTTTCAACCTCTGCACTGTTGCCATTTTGGGCTGGATTATTCTTCGCAGTGCAGGTGTGAAGAATTAGTCTACAGTGCCTGTCCTGTGCACTGCAGGACGCTTAGAAGCCTGCCTGGCCTTGGCTCATTAGATGCCAGTAGTAATCCCTCCCTCTCCCACCCCCACCCCATGATGACACACAAAAATGTCTCCAGACATTACCAATGTCTCGGGGGGAGTAGGGGTGGCGACTCACTCCCATTTGAAAACCTGAAAACCGCTAGTCTAATGTAACCTTCTCCACACGGAGAGCAGACTGATTTCATAGACTAAGAGAGTCAGAAGTCAAAGTCACATCTCCTCTAGCTACCATTATATAGATGAGGAAAACCAAGGCCAGAGAGGTTAAGAAGTCTCTCAGAAGTATATAAAAGTTACATTTTATCAGATTTTCCCTGGCAAGTGCGAGATGATAATTGCTAACATTTTCTGAGCATTTTCTGTGTGTAAAGCACTTTATTGCCCGATTTATTTTTTACAAGCCCATACAGTTGGTTATTATTGAGAGGACTTTAGAGCACAGGGCTTCGATTCTGGAGACAAACTGTCTGGTTTGAATCACAGACTACCTCTATAACCTTAGTTAGCCATCTTTCTTTGTCTCGGTTTCCTCATGTGTAAAATGGGTATAATAATCTCATAGGGCTATTGTGGAGATTAAATGAGTTTATATATATATATATGTATATAAATGATAGCTATTATCTCCTCCTCCTACTCATCACCATCACTCATTTTACACATGAAGAAATAAACTCATAGAGGTTACAGTATTTGGCCTAAATCACTCAGCTGAAAATTTCAGAGCTAGAATTCAACTTTAGTCTGTTTAATCGAAGTGAATCTTCCTAACACTACACTACATGGCCTACATTATTATTTATAACAACAATCATAAAAACAAGAACCACAACAATACTCAGTTCACATGCATCATCTACAGCAGGTCATATGGTCAATCTTTTTATAATGTGATTACTTCTTAAATTAAGAAAACTAAGAAAATTAAGTGTTCCCAAAGGCTTCTTTATGTATAAATAAAGAAAAATGAAACATCATGCCAACAAAACTCATCGTACATTAAGTGATAAATGTTAAATCTAAGTTAATGAAGAGTTTCAAACTTAACTCTTTGAAACAGGATGCATCTTAAAACTGATGACATAGTTTATTTGCCAGGATTTTTTTTCTTTCTTAGTGGTATATAAAATAATGATGCATCTTACAATGGCCATCTTAAATACAGTGAAATTTGGTATTATTCACTTATTCAACTATTTATTGATAACAACAATATACAAGTACCATTTATTAAGTCCTTACTATGCACCAACTACTGTGTTAGGCCAGATGTATACTTAAAACATATTATCTCATTTAAGTATTGAGCTCCAATTATGTGCCAGGAAATTCCAGAATATTCCCTGGGTGGGAAAATCTAGAGGAATCAATTCCAAAGACTGTGAATAAGTTTTAAAATGTTAAATATCTGGCATGCAAAAAAAAAAAAAGAACGTTAAATATCTGAGAAACTTACTTTGTTGTCTTTCTTTCCAGCAATTATTTCGAACATTAGTCACATAATCTTCTTCCACACTCTTTTCTACCTTCTGTAATAACATTCCTTTGTATTCATTTTTAAAGTCCTTGTTGACATAATAAATAACACCCAAATTTTCTGTCTGCATTTTAATGGTTTGCCCTGATCCACTGTAAAAGAGATACATGATCATTATTTTTTTAAATTAAAATTGGACACTCTAACATGCAACTATAAACCAAGCTAACAAAAACCATTAAAAATCATTAAAAAGTTACTGTTGATAATACAGGTTGAGCATTCTCAATCCAAATATCTGAAATCCAAAATGCTCCAAAATCTCAAACTTTTTGAGTGCAGACATGATACCACAAGTAGAAAATTCCACAGTTGACTTCAAGTGATGGGTCAGTCAAAGCGCAGTGCAGTGTACAGTAACCTTTTAATCAAAATGCGGCCTGGTAGGTGAAGACTGAAAGCCTGCCTTGGTTTGTTGCTGCTGTTGTTTAATGGCTGATGCAGGAATTCTGGTGATGCTACTGTGCTGCTTAGTTACCCTGAACACACTATTTTTTCACTGTAGTAATAGTATGTCATATTTTCTACTATTAAGTACTTAGGTGTGAATAAGTGTAAGAAAAATGGTTGCTCATCAGTGGCATATAAATTCAGAGTCAGGAATGATAGTGATGTCAAACAACCACAGATTTTCCAAATGGGAGGCTGAGATAGTGACACGTTTGCTTTCTGATGGTTTGATGTATACAAACTTTGTTTCATGTACAAAATTACTCGAAATATTGTATAAAATTACCTTTAGGTTAAGTGTATAAGGTATGTATGAAACAAACAAATTTTGTGTTTAGACTTGGGTATCATCACCAAGATATTTCACATCATATATGTAAATATTCCAAAATCTAAAAAAAATCTGAAATCCAAACCACTTCTGATACCAAACATTTTGGATAAGTGATACACAACCTGTATTTATTTACATTATCTTAAATTGACTAAAACTATGATTTCATGTCATAAAAAAGTAACCATACTTTTAATATAGTATGTTCTTATAAAGTTCTCTCAATTTTTCATTAATAAAAGTCTTACTTGGAAGAAATAAGTAATTCTTATTTTTAGACCAATCTTTTTTAATACTGTAAAATCACTGCGAGTACGATTTTACAAAGTTTCCTTCATGTTCATTGTATTACACCAAAGTTGTCTAGAATGGATGCTGTATTACATTTCCTTTATGTCCTGAACTCTTATATAAAGTATATGGTAGAAGAATACTTCATTAAAAAATTAATATTTGCCTTCATTTAACCAGTATTTTACAAAAGTCATTTCCCCCTTAATGACACAAATCTACGTAAGATCAATCACTGCTTCTTGTCTTTAAAGTATTTTCTGTCTTTAATGTCAGCACATTACCAACAACATTAAATTGCTATCAAGTTTCAATACAGCACTTCTGTCCTTATCCACAATGGACAGAAATGTAAACTAACAATGTAATACAAATTTATCATGTAAAGTAACCATTTTAAAAATTAGATAGAAATTTTTAAATCTGGTACACTTGTAGTAATAGGGTTGGCACTTAAAAGTTGCAAAGAGCACAAGCCTTTTAAAGGAAGCTAGATAAGAAACAGCAAGAATTCATTTTTGTAAAACTTCACTTAGCTACTTACGATCTGGGATATAAGGAATAAGGAGGATTAGAGACCATCAATTGGCTTAATAATGACACGAGGATCAATACAATAATGGGCATCAGCTGGATAAACACAGAAAAACCTCCCTATAAAAAATCATCAAAGAATAACAGATTGTAATATAACTGCAGTTGTCAGTAATCCAACAGTTGTCACACATTTTTAGAGGCAGAAAGGACATTTGAGATCGTCTAGTTCAGTGCTTTCAAGTCAGCCTAATCATACCAACTTCCTAAGGTGATTCTTAAAAATATAACTTGCCAGGCACATCACAGGAGATTCTGATTTCAAAAACACTGACACAACCTGATCTCACTTTACAGGTGAGGAAGTCCTCCTCTTCTCACTCTCTCTCTCTCTCACACACATGGAGACTCTACCAATAGGTTGCAGGTTGAAAAACTATTTTTACCTTGGATGTGGGGGTAGAAGATGGGAGCTGATGAGTGGCAGAGCTGGGGCCCAGGCCTTTTAATTTCTAGTCTAGTGCTCTTTCCATTTACCTTTCCACTTCATGTAATTTAATTGCTACAGGCAATTAGGTATAACTGCATTAGAACAAGGCAAGTTACCTCCAATTTAAGTTTTTTAGTATTAACTAATTCTAAATTCTTTGGGACCAACAATAGCAAGTTACCTTCAAAACATGCACAGTGCAGGGTGAATCACAGAAAAACAAATCTGAAGGGGTTACACTGCCCAACCGTCTCCACCCTGACCTCTACTCCTGTTCCCACATTATTCCTAAGGGATTTTCTAGTCTCTATTGAACACTTTTGGTAAGAGAAAACTCATTATTTCCTAAAATAACTTGTCCTATTTTTAGACAACTTTAATTACTTTTCCTGAGCTGAAATTTGCCATTTTTGATTTCTAATCGTATCACAAACATACATCTCCTCTTTCTTCTTCTCTCTCATGTCCACTGTGTCGATGTTGATGTTGATGGCTATAACCAGCTCGTCCATTTGAAAATGAATGTACAGTACCTAGAAAATTAAAAGCAACGTTAAATTAGGGCGAGCAGTGATGATCAGAAAAATTATATTTTCCTTTACATTTTTCTTTAACTTTTCAAAAGTTACTAAAATAGTGCATGTTTATTTTGAGAAGTGTATGCTTATTGCCCTCTCCTCTTGTGAGTGAATGGTGGACAGAAACAAGAATGATTCTTCCCAGACTCCGCCTCCTTTAAAATAAGGCAAAAGTTCCTGCTTTATGAAAACTTGAGTAAGAGTTTCTCTACATATAGACTTTTGTCGTGGTTGGTTGTTTTTACAAACCTTGGATCATTACTCTGAAACTCTGCTTTCTGCATTTATCAATGAATCACAAACTTCTCTAGAAATTAATAGATAGCACTCTAATTCATTTTGTAAAAACCAGTTATACAATATGCCATGGGATAGGTGGACCACAACTTATTCAAACATTCTCTTGCTGGTGGGCATTCAAGTTGTTTCCACATAAGGTGACCAATCAGAAATGTCTACCACTGACAAAGTAAACTACATTACAACTAGCAAAATAACTGCAGATCAACTATTGGAAGAAAATTCACTATTGCCCGAAAGAGTTCTGATTGTTCCTAGTGTATTTTCAGCCAAAATTACTAGTTTTAATAATTTTTCTGTAAGAGGTAATTATGTATTCTAATATGTTAAACACAGTTTATATTTTCAGTCATTAATTTATATTTATATATCCTCTTCAAGGATGTTTTGCAAAATGTCCTATCAATGACTACAACCTTTCTCAATAATATTCAGAGAGGACTACCAGGCCGGAATTATTTGCTACATTCATAAAAATTCTGCTAATTTTGAATGGCATGTTTAATTCAGCACCTGAAGTAAATGCTGTAAATAAGACTGGAGCTATAGTTTTAAATACCTTAGAGGAGCTACGCTCAAAGAAAATTAATTTCCACACAAAAA